TCAGATGGAATCTCCTTTCTTGTAGTTTGAAGCCTTTGCTCCATTGCGTCCTAGTCCAGTGTGCCTTCCCAGAATAAGGAAACTCAAATGCACTTTACTAGAGATCTAGAATTGCCTGCAAACCCCACCTATCCCTAAAATATCTATCCTATTTCACCTGATCATGCCCAACACTTTTAAAGATTTTAAAGTATTTTAAGAAGGGCTAGAAGGCATGATCATCAAGTTTGCAGACGACACCAAATTGGGAGGGATAGCCAATAGTCCAGAGGACAGGAGCAGAATTCAAAATGATCTTGACAGATTAGAGAGATGGGCCAAAACTAACAAAATGAAGTTCAACAGTGACAAATGCAAGATACTCCACTTTGGCAGAAAAAATGAAATGCAAAGATACAGAATGGGGGACGCCTGGCTCGAGAGCAGTACGTGTGAAAAAGATCTTGGAGTCCTCGTGGACAACAAGTTAAACATGAGCAAACAATGTGATGTGGCGGCAAAAAAAGCCAATGGGATTTTGGCCTGCATCAATAGGAGCATAGTGTCTAGATCTAGGGAAGTAATGCTACCCCTCTATTCTGCTTTGGTTAGACCACACCTGGAATATTGTGTCCAATTCTGGGCACCACAATTCAAGAGAGATATTGACAAGCTGGAATGTGTCCAGCGGAGGGCGACTAAAATGATCAAGGGTCTGGAGAACAAGCCCTATGAGGAGCGGCTTAAGGAGCTGGGCATGTTTAGCCTGAAGAAGAGAAGGCTGAGAGGAGATATGATAGCCATGTATAAATATGTGAGAGGAAGCCACAGGGAGGAGGGAGCAAGCTTGTTTTCTGCTTCCTTGGAGACTAGGACGCGGAACAACGGCTTCAAACTACAAGAGAGGAGATTCCATCTGAACATGAGGAAGAACTTCCTGACTGTGAGAGCCGTTCAGCAGTGGAACTCTCTGCCCCGGAGTGTGGTGGAGGCTCCTTCTTTGGAAGCTTTTAAGCAGAGGCTGGATGGCCATCTGTCAGGGGTGATTTGAATGCAATATTCCTGCTTTTGGCAGGGGGTTGGACTGGATGGCCCATGAGGTCTCTTCCAACTCTATGATTCCTGCTTCTGGCAGGGGGTTGGACTGGATGGCCGACAGAGGCCATCCAACTCTGTTTAAAAGCCTTCAAAGAAGAAGCCTCCACCACACTCTGGGGCAGAGAGTTCCACTGCTGAACACCTCTCACAGTCAGGAAGTTCTTCCTCATGTTCAGATGGAATCTCCTTTCTTGTAGTTTGAAGCCTTTGCTCCATTGCGTCCTCGTCCAGTGTGCCTTCCCAGAATAAGGAAACTCAAATGCACTTTACTAGAGATCTAGAATTGCCTGCACGCCCCACCTATCCCTAAAATATCTATCCTATTTCACCTGATCATGCCCAACACTTTTAAAGATTTTAAGTATTACATTTGGCCCTGCCACAGGTTTTAATGCGCTGCGGTATTATTGTTAATGTTTTTGCTTTGTTTATGAGATTATTATTATTATTATTATTATTATTATTATTATTGTATTGTATTGTATTGTTGTTGTTGTGCTCAGCCTCTTGTAAGCCGCACTGAGTCCTTCGGGAGATGGTAGCGGGGTATATATAAAGGTTTATTATTAGTCTCCAGGGCAGCAGAAAACTAGCTTGCTTGTATATTGTAGATTAAGCTGATGTTATATGTTTTTAACTGGTTTATGCATGCATATTACAGAGCTCTTTTGAAAAGGACAAGAGTAAACTGGGATATATTCATGGAACAATGTCAGCCAAGTCATTCCACGCTATTTTCTTCTGTCAATCTATGGCCTCTATTGTCAACACTATAAACATTACAGGATGTTAACAGTTTTCTCCAGACAATGTTAATGCAAACAGATTAGATATCTTAAACTTGCTGATGGTTAAAATAACTTGTGAAGGCTTTTCTACTCATGTTTAGTTTGACACAAACTCTCATGGACCAAGAACTTAGTACAAAAAAAAAAAGATGCTCCTATCTTCATCTAATGTACTTTTGTTCTGTATAGTAAAGGTAAAAGTTTTCCCCTGGCATTGTCCAGTTGTGTCCAACTCTGGGGGTTGGTGCTCATCTCCATTTCTAAGCCGAAGAGCCGGCGTTGTCCGTAGACACCTCCAAGGTCATGTGGCCGGCATGACTGCATAGAGCGGCCTTACCTTTGTTCCGTCTCCCAGGAGCCTGATTTGCTTTACTTTACAGTTGCTTGAGGTTGCTCCCTCTTGCATTTACTCCCAGGGCTGCTGCAGCTTTGCAAGAGCCCTGTGTTGGGGTTCAGCCTGAGATTGAACCTGATTCTCTGTTTGTACCTCCTGATACTAATGAAAATATATTTACTGATGCGAATGAAAATGTACTTCCTGCTGCTAATGAAAATGTACTTCTTGATGTCAGTGATCCTGAAATTAGTGACAATGCTCCTGAAATTAGTGAGGAAGAAACTTGGAAAATGAATTTACCAGTGTTCATGAGAATGTTTCAGAGGGAAGCGATGACCTTTCACTCCCTTCTGCACCTGGGAACCTTAATGAGAATAGAAGGGGCCAGATCTGGCAAGACAGGAGTATATCACTCAGCTTGCAAAGGTCTTCCAGATTAAAAGAAAAACAAACAACGGCTTCAAAGCAGGGAGGCGTATCACGAAACGAATTCCTCGGCTTTAAGTGCCTTCCGCCGGGCTGACTTTCTCAGTTCAGGCATCGTTTAGATTGATGAAGACCTTGGCAGTTCTCCCGGTTTCCCTGGCCATCGTCTTGAAAGATTTCTAGGACACCAAGTACGGTTAGTGGATTGCTAACAGGTTCCAGTATTTTACAGTGTGGCTTTGGGTTTTGATTTTGTTCATGGACATTCATGTTTGCTGATTTGCTGTGGCTTTTGACTTTGCATTTTTCCTTTATTTTGTAACCATTTTACTTCAATAAAAAAGGATTGTTTTTTCAGTCAAGTGTGGTGGATAGTTATCTTAGGGCCTCGTTTCCTGCTCTGGATTGCAGCAGTATGCCTGAACTGAGAAAGTCAGCCCGGCGGAAGGCACTTAAAGCCGAGGAATTGGTTTCGTGATACGCCTCCCTGCTTTGAAGCCGTTGTTTGTTTTTCTTTTAATCTGGAAGACCTTTGCAAGCTGAGTGATATACTCCTGTCTTGCCAGATCTGGCCCCTTCTGTTGTCATTACAGTTAACAGGTGCAGAAGGGAGGGAAAGTTCAAGGTCTCCCTCTGCAACATTCTCATGAACACTGGTACTTTCATTTTACAAATCTACAGAAGTTTCTTCCTCACTAATTTCAGGAGCATTGTCACTAATTTCAGGAACATTGACATCAAGAAGTACATTTTCATTAGCATCAGGAAGTACATTTTCATTAGCATCAGTAAATATATTTTCATTAGCATCAGGAGGTACAAACAGAGAATCAGGTTCAATCTCAGGCTGAACCCCAACACCCTGAAAGTTAACAGTATCAGAGTCTGCAAAGCCAGTCTGCAGGCCTCCTTTGCAGATATGGGTTAGAAAAGGTATTTCTTTGAGTCTAGGGACCACCTTTTCTACCAGGGAAGAGATCTCCATTTTGAAATCTCCTCTGCCTTTTTAGTTTAGAGCAGGGGTCCTCAAACTTTTTAAATGGGGGGCCGGATTACTGTCCCCCAGACAGTTGGAGGGCCGGACTATAGGTTTTTTTTTTAAAAAATGATGACCAAATTCCTATGCACACTGCATATGTCCTATTTTGCTACTGTTATGAATTGTAATGTAAATATCGGATATGCATGATGTATTTTTATTGTTACAATCTGAACATAAAGCATGGTTTTAGCATTTCTGGAGATAAAATAGTTCCAATTAAAATGAGGAAAGCATTCTATTTTCTGTCTTTTTGAAAGTGGTTTTTGAAATATGTAAGCATGAGTCCCCTTTCAGGGGGGAAAGGGCAGGGTATAAATATAGGAAATAAATCTATATAAATAAAAATGTAATGTTCGTTTGTGGGATTAACAG